TTGCGAACTGATGGACAGATGTGCAATTAAAATAACTCACATTAAATTGCGTATTGGCGGACAGGTTGCATTAAATTGCGTTTGGGTCGTTAAGCATTCAATTGCGTATTGACGTCCAGTTTGTGTTAAATTGTCTTTGGCGGGGTCATCAAGCATTGTATTGTGTATTGATGAATGGTGTCCTATTCATTAAAGGTAAATTGATAGAATGTTGCATTAAATTGCGGTTGAATATAAGTAATAAAAAATTGCAAAAGTCATAGGACACACATTAATTTTGGTCGAAAATATAATTTCTATAACTAATATAATTGACGATTGCTGGAGTACGTAGAGTCGCTGTGGTGATATATAGTTCTATATGTGGTATATGTCGATCGCTCAAAATGGTCTGACAACCTTTCCTAATATTTTAGCACTGAATTAATGCAGGTGATAAGAGAGATAATTTTGGTACGATGAAGAATGGTTATAGTTATACCCAATTAATACTATATGGACTGATATCAGATGTGTAGACAGAATATAGTGGAAAGTCGTTTGCAATTGTTGATGCAACTCTTGATATAATAATAATATTCTACCACCACAGGACCCATCAATATTTAAAATGATAATAATAATTAGTGGGGAGTTTTGAAGAAATTCTTGTGTTTTTTAATCAATTTTCAAATGTACATGATAAAGAAAAATACTACATGTAAATAACACATTGCATGAGACAGATAGAATGAAAAAAAATATAAGTATTTACCTTAAACCTACAAAATATAAAGTAGTGACTACTATGATAGAGATATTCTGGTCATAAACATACAACATTTTTTCAGAAGTGCTTTATACTAATCTTACATAATATTACACAATAACAAAGTGGAATAACGATTATATGAAAACAAATATAAAAGAAGAAAGGTGAAGTATGTGAAACACAGAGTAAATTGGAGTTAATATATAAATGTAATTTATATTCGAAAGAGGAGGAAAAATCACGGTGCTGGTTACGTGTGGAAAGGCCAATCGCACTAGAGGCATTCGGCTTATGTGTGGCAGTATAGTGTCAAAATGAGTCCACCATCGGTGTAACGTAGCACACATGCCTCAAAACAAATACCTAATAGAGTGGATTGATTCATGCTTGAAAAGAAAATAAAATTAAAAAGGAGAGAGATGTAGTGTATGTGGAAACACTAGCAGTTTATTATCTATCGTCTCGAGCCGAGCGTACACGGACCGCCGTGCGCAAGAGGGAAGATTCCCTGCGCAAGCGCCGCGGAGTAAAGACGTGGAGCTATGGCTAACGAGCCGATATTACGTCGATAACAACTTACATACAAAAGACATAAATAACAAATAAGTGGGTCACTATACTTGCTATGCACAATACCCGGCAATAGCAAGTGCGGGAATATAGAACTACCTATAAGTACGTCTATATTACTAGGAATGGCAAACTCGCCGTCTGCCAGCGGTAGGTTTTTAATGTGTGAAAATGCGGCGGTATTGACAGGAACGGAAGGCAAACTGTCCGTAATACGGTCAACAACAAGCGCGGAAATATTAAAGTGAACATTAAAATTAAAACGAGAAAATATATTAAATTCTACTGAACCCTTAACGTTTTTTTGTGAGCCACCAATACCCTTTACCATCGTAGATGAATATTTTAATTCATTTAATAAACCTAAGCGGTCACAACATTCATCAGTAATAAAATTACTTTGGGACGCACTGTCCAATAAACATCGAACTAAGTGTTGTTTACCTAATGCGTCATACACAATAACGCGTGCAGTTGCTAGTAGCACAGTTTTGTTACTGAGCGCGCAAAGTGACAGACCACTCTGCTTGGCCACACAAATATATATGTCCATGTGTGACGGGAGCGGGGGTGAGGCCAACTACGGGGCGCGGTGCATCGCGCGCGGGCAGCGAGACCCCGATCCGTAACAAAATGTAGCAAAGAATGATGGCGCTTTTGACATGCACGACACGAAGATTTTGATGTACAAACACCTGACTTGTCTTTTTACTTAAACAATTTACGCATGAATTGTTAGCTTTAATATGTTTATAACGATCGAGAGGTGACAATTTTTCGAATGCACTACATTTATAAAAATGTTCATGCATATTACTATTGCAAAGTGAACATTTTTTGTTACATTGAAACATAAGACTGCGGGTCCGGGTACTTAGCAGGCGGGCGAGTATTTATTAGTAGGCGGGCGGTATTTATTTGACTCTGTACTGGTGGCGGGCGCGGGTTGTGTATTAACATATATGCGGCATTGCGTTTTTATAAAATTAATAAATCCGTCAAAATCACGTGATTTTGTTATAGAAAATGTGTAATTCGAACGCGCGTAATGTTTTGAATCGAATTTACGTTTTGCAATATATAATAAAATGAAATCGGATAATTGTTTTATACCTAAGCCCTTTCACGACATAGCGGCGGTGACATACTTATCTATAAATAATTGAAAACTTGCGGCGGAAGGCATTTTGCCTAATTTAAAATTTAAAATCTGGTCTAAGTAATTAGAACCGAGAACGTGAATATCTTGATACTTATCAAGCAGAGACTTAAATATAATTTCATAGTTTTCGGCGCAGGGTGTAATACCTGCAAATACCGATTGTACTTTGGGTGATAACTTACCCAGTAAATAATACAGTTTTTCTGAGTTTGTAAGTGAGGAGTTGTCAAAAACAGTAGATTTGTAACTAGCGTAAAATAAATTCCAATAAATCTTGATAATTGTCGCTGAAGGAGACTAATTCCAGGGGGGAGCCTTTTTTACAGGTGCATCTATCCCACACGAATTCCCACCCGTGGGCGCAAAGAAAGATCAGAAAATGTCTGTTTAATTGAACAAAACAAATCTTCAAATGAGTCATATACATGAAAATTATCCACGGCAGAAGGATTCTCATCAAGCATCCTACTATTATATTCATCAAGTACATCTTGAAACTTATTACGAACGTCATCGATGGTTATACATGAACTAAGAAATATATGTCTTTTTTCTTCCGATTCCGTAGCCAACTTCGACTTATCGTAAATACTTTGTATTCGTTGAAATAAAGCATTACGTTTAGCTTCTAACATAATAAGTTGACGACTAGGTGAAAAGGTAGGCGCATCTTTATCTTTACGTGACATATCTAATGATTTAACGCAATATAACTATAGGTAATTATACAGTGACCTGTCAATAGACAGCGTAAGCGGACAGTAAAAAATAAAATTATATGTAGGTATGTAGCGAGAACACGGTTAAGTGTTGCGTAGATTACTATATAAAATATAATGGAATGCGGGATATGGACATTTATATTTGTATATTATATAATGGTGTGCGGGATGTACAAGTATATTATGTATAATATACAAATAGGATACAATTTTAAGACTATACTATAAATGCGGTGATATAAATATTTATTATCTAAAGAGATAATACAGAGGTATGCGATATTATATATTATTCTATAGCGGTATATAATAAACTATTACACATATAGGTGCTTGGTTGCGGTATAATATAAAGAAATAACAAGGCAATCCTATATGGCTACGCGGGTATGTCTGAGAAACAAATAAGTAATATAAGACTAAATAAGCGGATTTTATATTATCAATTTTGAAAGCGGTTTCTTAATAATAATATTAAACGAAGGACCTTGCGAATAAATAGCAAAAGGGGTACGTTATTAAATGTAACTCAATTTAAAAAATAGCAAAATATCCGGTTCGCAACGGGCCAAAAAATGTTAAAGCGGTTCCCTAGGGATATGTATCCCGAGAGATATATTCCTTCGATAAGACTGTCGTCACAGATCACGGGCAAAGTAAGGAGTTACGAGCGTACCTGGCTTTCTGCTATGGCGTCTTGGTGCAGGAATCGATGATCGACGACGATGATGATCGATGAACTGATCACACACACAACACGCGCGGCGGAAATTAGTGTATATACACCTTGAATATTGCACACTATCTATATACACCTTGACAATTCAATAGTTTATTAAATCGTAGTGATTCAATTATTATAAAACGTAATTATGTGCGAGCGGCGTTTCACAGACACGAGCGGGAAAAAAAAAGTAGCGCCATCTTTCTTTCCAGCGATGGCGCGGGCGTACTCGGCTCCTTTCGGCCCTAGATCGTGAGTATGTCTGTCCTTGTCTATTACACGAGATGTGCATTTAAACTAGTTGTGGCGCAAACAATAACGAATTTTCATACAAAAGTCAGGTTGTATATTCAAATTCAAATTCAAAATATCTTTATACGTGTAGGTCTATTACAGACTCTTATGATATGTTAAATCTACCGTCAGTTCGGAATGATTTCGAGATGAGAAGAACTAACAAGAAAACCAGCTCGTATTCTTTTCAAATAAATGTCTAGTCTACAATAACGCAGATTAATTTTTAAATTCAAATTTGGGAGAATGGAATGACCACCAGCATATGTTATTGCAAAAGCTTAAAGCAAGTTAATTTTATTTTTATGAGTAATGGGGCCTGAAAACCATATAGGTGCGCCTCATTGAAGTTGTACTTATATCAGCAACAGCTGAGGCAGCACCTATTGCCAACTTTGTATATTTTTTTTTTTCTTACTAGCTATATTCGCGACTTCGTCTGCATGGAATTTAACAAAAAAGTTAATTAAAGACTTTTTCTAAAATAATAGTAGCATAAGTTACTACTTATTATATCAGATACCTGCCAATAAATATCCCGTCAAAATCAGTTAAGCCATTTTAGAGATTAGCCGGAGCAAACAGATAGTCAGACAGACAAAAATTCATATGCATGTAGTAAAAAACTGTTATTGCAATATTACAAACAGACACTCCAATTTTATTTACATGTATAGATATAGATTTTGTTTATTATTTATTTGTTATGTTGGCAATAAATGAATTATCTATATATCTATCAACCTAATGAATTCAGATAAAAGCATGAATACTTACCACACTCTTCGGCGATGGACGGATCTGTTCCTTTTACAGCGCCCTCCACATAGCCCACGAGTATCAGCAACGAATCATGATCGATCATCACCGAGCTGACGCGTTCCAGCAACATCTTCACTGTATTGTAGTAGAGATTGGTCATCACCGGCTGTCCCAGCTTCTTTAACACGTTCGACTGGAATATTATAGATACTTATGTTATAAACTCATTAACTTGTAATGTAACAGTTTACAAAGCTAAATGCATGGCAGCTTAAATAGGCGAAACTGACTGCCCACGTAGACTTATTATGACAATGACAATGACATATTATTGAGATTATTCATAGAGATCAGATTTACATTCTTTGTAACGATACTCCAAAAAGACTTGATTGATCGAGACGAAAATTTAATCAAAGTTCGACCCTAGGGCCTCCATCGTTTACCACTCAAAAAAATTCCGATCGGTCATGTCCTTGAGGAATGGTCGGTAATAAAGGTTGCCATAGACTTACATACAAAAGAATAAACGCGCTCCGCTCAACTTTGACCTGGCGTGTAAACAACACACCGGTAACAAACCTCGTTTTTTATTTTAGATACTTTGTATGATCTAAGATAAATATATCATAATATTAATCAATATCCACTAACAAATCATGGTAAGACAGACTAAATATTAATTAGTTACTACTAATTAATATTATTTAGTACAAATTAAGGTAGGAAATGTTACTTACAGTTGTGCGTACACAAACTTCACAGCTAACATTTGGATTTAAAATAGTTTCCATGCCTTGCAACAATTCAGGAGCTTGTTTCATGTGAACTGAAAATTTATTCAGAAATTCTTGTGCCTTCACCGACTCAGGGAGAAATTTGGAGCTTATGTGCAGAACTTTAGATATCAATTCCTTTTGCACGGCCGGTGTCTGCGGTTTTCTATGTAAATCAATCCATTCGGCCACCGTACGTCGTACTGCCAGCTGATGTTTTTGTAACTCAATGAATGCTTTGGTTGCATTATCATCGACATTTGACATTAAGTAGTACAGCTTTTGCATTCTGACTGGCGCAGGCAGAGTGTACGGAACTAGCGACGTATTGAGAAGTCTCTCAACTAACAGTCTGTCCTCTAGAGCGGTCATGTAGTAGCCGTGGAGAATTTTATCTTTAATCCACTGCACGGCCTTCTCCGTGGCGGGAGGTACGCTGTCTTCTGTTAGGAACTTTTTGTATATCATTGCAAGCCCAGACATAGCTTCTTTTCGTATTTTAAACTTCTTGTCCAACGTTCTTTCCCTAACGAAATGTAGGAGATCCTCAGATTCGGCGACAGCTTGGAAATCCCTCTGGGCCGTAGCGATTATAGCCATAACGACCTCGTAACGAACTTGCTCGTGAGCATCGTGTTGCCTAAGTTTTAATGTTTCTGTGATATCTTTTCTCAAATCCGGGTGGTGTACAAGAAAATGCATACAGTATTGAACGCATTTTATTCTAATAGGTACTGATATATCGTTAAATCGACCTAAAAATGCTCTCCATAGTGCTGGATATTGTTTCGCTAGTTCTGAACCGGGTTCGGAGAACATTCTAGCAAGCAAAGCGACGCCGCTGAGTCTTTCATGGAACTGCGCTGATTTTAACTTGCACTCTAGTTGTGGTAGCACAGCCAATAGTAATGAAGGACAGCATTGGTATAATTCGTATATCAGTTCATAAACTTTGGAGAATATGAGTAGTTCCTTATCTTCTTTGCCGAGAATCAGGACATGGTTAAAGAACTGTGGGATGAAATTAAAAAATAGTTTTTATATGTATATCAACTTGAAAGCCCTTGTTATAAAGCAACTTATATTATAAACTAGCTGTACTCGCGACTTCGTCCGCGCGGAATATAACTTTATTTTTCTAATTTAAAAGTAGCCTAAGTAACTCCTTATTACATCAGCTACCTGCCAAAAAAAGTCCCGTCAAAATCGGTCCAGCCATTTCAAAAATTAGCCGGAACAAACAGACAGACAGACAAAAATTGTAAAAAATGTTATTTTGGCATATCTACCGTATTTATATTCATATGCATGTAGTAATAACGGTTATTTCAATATTACAAACAGACTAAAAATATAAAAATGGGTAAGTTATATTAATTTCCGATAGTGCTACAAATCTATTTAAGAAATGCAAAGACGTGGCAACAACTGAAACGTCAAATTTGTCTCCAGGATTAAAAAACAGACTATAGAGTTGAGTTGATAAAGATTTCCATAATAAATATTATAGCCAAAAAATACGGGTTGCTAGGATGCTGAAAGAAAAACAAGAGAAAAACTTACCGCTTGTATATATGGTTCTAAAGTCTCACTAGTCTTTATTATGAGTTCTTTCGCGAGACCATACGCATGTTTGTGCTCTCTCTTTGTCGGCTCGATCAAATTTATGAGCATCACATTCAGCAACTCATTGGATACCACGTCAGACTCGGTGATCAGTGGGCAGAGTACATCCAGCATGAATGACTTGACTTTGGAGGAATGCTCCGTACTGTTGACAAATAAATTATTAGTTTACAAGCATATGCTGATTAAAAATATCTAATTTTTTGTTGTTAAATATTCTTTAGATGGTAATTTCCCACTTAAAAACTAGCTGGGTGTGGCATGGCGTGACCAAGTCTTGGGCCGTGCTGTCATTCCACTATGAATGTCTCTGGTCATTAGAACATTACAAAATTTAGCGGCCGCAGCGTGCGATTATCAGGTCATCATGCGATGGTATTCCTGAAGACTAACTCGTTATAACTTTCGTTATAATGTTATTATTATTTCACTACTATAGATCCCCCTAAAACTAGAACAAAGTTAATTGCTTTACAACCGTCGCATACAGATACTTTGTACAAAGTCTCCAAATAAATAACAATATATAACATAAACATCACTCACTTGACTATTTTAAACATCAATGAAAAGAGAGCGCAGAATATTTCTTGACAATCTTCAAGCTCGAAGCACATGTTGAACGATTTGACATACGCCAGGTTCTCTAGTAAATAGAAGTATCGCTTGAACGCCGGGTCCTTCGGGTCCCGGAGGCCTTGCAACTGGTTGATCAGGAACAGAAATATTGTTTTCACCTGTTGACAGATAAAACTTAAATGTATAAAAATCACAGTACAGTATTTTATCATAGGATCATCAATCTTTAATTATGGGATATAAGTATTTTTTATACCACAATGGTGGTAAACTAGCATACGGCCCTACTGATAGTATATAGTTACCGTAGCCTAAAACACAAAAGGTGTTTCGTGCGCGTTGCTAACCCTGAACAAATATTAAAAAAAAACGGCATGCAACATTACAAAACAATATGTACACGCCATTAGGTGGCATGGAATATTTTAACTTAAACTCTCTAAGAACCATTATATTTACATAAAATTTTGAAATATTCTATTGCATGTCATATGAACATACGCAAATACATATCATAGGTAAAACACATTCAATTTTGTATGGTTTGTATACATATAGTAGTCACATCATATACTTAATATGAATATAATATAAATAAAAAGAATAATTTTATAGTTTTACATTCATACCAAATGCGATGAGACCACATGTTCTTTCTGTCTAACTTCTATGAGGTAGACAGAGTGGACAAGTGGTCTACCGTTACACATAATCTAGCTTTATTTACATACACTTTACTACATATTAGATTTTTTATGTGTGATTTTTTCTATAATCTTCCTTCGTCTGTAAAAAAGTACCCCAGAATTCTATAAAATTCTGTGGTTGATCATAAAATAAACAACTATGTATCCGCAGGTGTTTTTCGGTACAGTCCGTTACCAACTGATAATATGACTATCACTATGTGAAAGAAGCAAATTAAGAACCTACTTCTTTCAACAGTCGGTTCAAGATCCCGTCTCACCTGTTCCTGGTCCTTATAAGGTGCTTCTGGCGCGTACACTCTGAGAACATCCGCGATACAACATGCGATCAGCAGTTGTACATCCCGCGACGGATGCGTGAGAAAGAATTCATCGGCCAAGTGTATCGCCAGCGGGATGTACTGCTGGTACATACCCTCATCCTGGCCCAGACCTTGAAGCGTGTGGGCCAGAACCTGTAACAATTTAATATATAAATAACATTACACTACTCGTATAGTGATACCTATGGTCTGTTTTTTTTTATACTGGGGACAAATTTGACAGCTTATTAATATAATAATCATTTTTATAGTTTACTCAGAAATAGGGTGTTTATTTAAAGCGCATTAACACAAAATTAATAAAGTATATGTAGGTATTGATAAACATAGAATAGTTGTATCAAAATTGATTGTATAATTGACTTATCATTACATAGTATGAAACAAAGTAGCTGTCGCTATCAGAATATCACACTAATGTATTTTTGTGTTTTATAATACAACGATAGTAATGGAAACACTAGTATACATACGTAAATTTTTAAAATGCGTTGTGGAAACTTCGTATAAAGTTTTACAACTAATATTCTAAAATAAAAACTTAGGATTAAACAAATCGGTATCGCAGGTACATCACTATCCCACTGCAGCTGGTAACATTATTAAAATTTGACATTTATACCTGTCAATTTAGTTTCTGACATTAAAAACAGACTATAGTAGGCAATTATTAGTAGTGAGAGAGATTAATGGTCTCATTGTAAGTAATGTAGCAAGTCCACTTTGGAAACCATATAGTTAAGTCCTAGTGAATTCAACACGATAGGCTAACTGACCTGACTTCATCCTCATCCTATGATCAGACACTGGTGCCCTCCAATATATACCTTTATCGGAGACGGATCTAAACTAAATATGGAATAGTAAGAAAAAAGAACCAGAGACCCAGTTGATAGCAATATACACAATCAGGTAGACCTCCACGCGGTTTTAAAAATGTATGTATAATGGTTAATTCCTAGTGAGATCACAACGATGAGCCAACCGACCAGACTTCAACCTCGTTCTATTATCTTGCACTGGTGTTTTGCAAGCTTATATCGTTAGCGTAGGCTGGTGCACCATACTATTATCATACATTACAAAAATAGTCTAAAACTAAGCAGTTTTTGTACGATGGTACTAAACAATTGACAGATTTTTTATTTTTAGTGCATGATAATGAAATGACTCATCTGCCTGAACGGTTCAGGCTTGCGGAGCACCAGTAGAGGATGATAAATCTTATCATCCATCATAGTATCATCTTATCATAAATCTTATCATCATCATAATTTGACGATAGGCTGACTGATCTGACCTCATATTCATCTGAATATGAGGTCAGATCAGTCAGCCTATCGTGACAAATTCACAAAGAATTCAACACGATGGTTTCCAGGAGAAACAGCGTGGAGGTCTTACTAACATTATAGGTAAATTACTAGGACTGAGGGATTACTATCAACTCCGTTTCCCCCTTACATTCAGGTTCTTTCATTAATGTTAGGTATGTTTAGCTATCGCAGGCGGATGCACCATTCCAATTCATATTTGAGTATACGACAGATACAAATCATAAAAACATAAAGTGGGTCAACCAGTCAAAAATACATGTGCAAATCCGCCGTCAGTTTCTTTTATTTAGAGGAGTGCCTTGTTAAAAATAAGTTGTTTATTTTCGCCCGCGTGGCAGTCACGTCTATGGTCGTATAAATGACATACAGTTACAGGTGTTTTTATGAGCCATTGAGGAACCGTTCAGATTTATTCATATGAAATATGAAAAGTGTATTATTGATAAAACTTTGTTTAAATAAAGCTTTGTTTTTTAATTATGGATTAAAAATCAGATTGACTTTAAGGAGAAAGGAAAAGGAAATTGTTATTAATGGGCAATTGCTAATAAAATGTGTCGTTAAGTCAACCTCCATCCGATCCTCCTGAAAACGACGATCATCCTACCATCCTGCACTACATCATACGATTACAATCCATAAAACTGCTCATTTTATGGAAAGTACTATAAACATTACAGCATCACGGATAACTTGTACTTGGTATCCTTATTTGAAAACCATGACATCCGCTTGCAGTACCTCCTTTAATCACATTTGATAGTCAAATTCTTAAGCTAAAGGAGGAAATATTTAGCGCAAGCGGGTTACGCGGTGAACGAGGGGTGGGCATGTCCTTTAACTTAAACAGCGAGTGAAACTGTAGTGTACAGTTAACAATATAATAAATTTGTAACATTATGACGAGCAAAAAAATAATAATCCAAGATGTGAAATAATTATTTTAGTGACTATTATTCAATACGCCACTATTTAATGATGTAATTTATTAAGATCGTAATGAAGATGCTTATGTTATAATATTAGACAAATCATTACAGTAACACAAAGAAAAAATAAATTCTGATTGTCTAACTCATTAGCTCATTAACGCCGTAGTTATGCCACGAAATATAGAACGAACGTTCTTTATGTGGTATGGCGTTAGGGAGTGGCGTTTAACATAAAATAGGTTAAAATGTTTGTGGTAAAATATCCAATTAACAATTAGGCTCAATATATGTACGTAAATATAAAGAAACTTGTTTAAGGCATAAAGAACCAAATTCGAATATTTATTATAATTAATAGTAGCTTGTTATCGAAATTGGACCATAATTTAATATTATTGTAAGTGCAATATTGTTAAGCATTATTTTAAAAACGTATATTTTAAGTTTCGTCACTTCAATTCCATATCTTTAACTGTGTCAAATATTATTATACTCCGTCATAGCATTTCGGACTACATTTTTGCTTCACGTATTGATATTTACTAATGGTCGCCCAGTGTCGAAATTGGACCATAATTTATTTAACATTCAGTAAGATTAAAGGTAAACAATATCCATCCTCAATTTGATCACAGACTTAAACAATAAACAAAAGAGTACGTATGCATGTCGAATACATGTTAATGTGTGTAATATTTTCTTTGTACATTTCATGTATTTTTTAAGAATAAGTTTTAAAAAATATTTGTAATTGCTTTCTTTTTCCATATGAACTCTATAGTATAAATGTGCGATACATACTCCTCCGTCCGCGCAAATTTTCGTAAAAACGGGCACGAATCTTTACTTAACGTATTAATATATATATGATACCTAGACTGCTGACTTTGTTCGTATATATGAATAGAATAGAATAGAATAGAAAATCATTTATTCAAATAAACTTAATTTAAGCACTTTTGAACAGTCATAACAATTTGTTTTTTATCTACCACTCGTTCGAAAGCTGTCTCATCACAAGAAGAACGAGCAAGAAACTTGTATGTTGCTCTTTTAAATAATCCTTGTAAGTTTACATTTACAAATCGAAACGTGTGAATACAAACTACCAACCAGCACTAATTTTTTGGGTCAAATATAAGTCCAGTCCAGTCCCTACAAGCAGCACTCGTTCACGAGTATGACGGATGAGTCAGCCATCACTGCGCTCGACCATATTTTAGGGATATTATATGAAATTAAGAAAAACGTTTTCTATCTACAGGAAATCATACTCTAATAAAATATTCAAATGCATACAACTTTGTAAGTGTATGCGTCTATTGTCCGTATATTTTTTGCCTTTTAACAATAAAACCTCAGAACGATCATAATAAAATTTGACATGACAACTATTTTATCACGAGAATCGATCAGAAAGCAGACCAAGTCACCGGAAACCACTAGTAAAATATAAGTTGGAATAACATCCACACAACCACGCAATTTCTTTCAAATTCGTCCAGTCACTTATTGTTACCTAATTGAAACATACAAGACAGAAGGTACATGTACAAACTATAATAACTACAGTATATAGTTATAAATTATATATAGTTATAATAACTATAATATAAAAAAACCAATACAAATAAATATTGTTAATGTTTGATTTAGATTCCATTTATTACAGATGTATACCTATTATTAAAAAAATAACGGCCTTATATATACAAACTTTTTAACCCTTACCACTGTATTACATTAATAGCTATCGTTAGACAAAAAAGAGGAAGCCCTGCTATGCGAGTAAATGGCAATTGTAAGGGATTCCATTATTATATAAAATGAACGTAAGTATAGCCACAGAATACCTGAGTACTACCGCACAACATAATAGCAGGTCTGGATGAAAGCAATATGCAATTAACTAAGTGCTTTACCTGCTTATTTGTAACTGTTTGTATTTTTGTATTTAATATTCAAGAAAGTGAGTATCGTTGTCTAGCGGTTTACTATCCCAACTTGGACCCTATTGTCCTGAATTCTAATTGGCCGATTTGAAACTTTAAAAGTATTATATAATCCGATATTAAATAATGCGAGTAAGGAAAGCAGGCTAGGCCCTGGCATGTTTTTTTTATTGGATGATAATGGAATGGTCCTCCCGTCTGACCTAACAGTTTACGCTGGCGGGGCACCAGTAGAAGATGATAAGATGAGCATGAGATCAGGTCAGTTAGCCCATCGTGGCAAATTTTCCAAAAATCTACCACGATGATTTCCAGGGGGAACTGCGTCTAGGTCAACCTGACTTGACAAACTTCTGTCGTTCTTATGATGAGACATTTCCGAATGAGCGGTACATTAAAAAAATGTTATGACTATTCAATTGTGCTTAAATTAAGTTTATTTGAATAAAGAATTTTCTATTCTATTCTATTGTTATCCCGATATCATTAACGCTGGCGAGATCCACTAATTCCTATTTTCATTATTCAATAATTAGATAAAAAAACTGCATACTGACGCTCCAATTTAACCCACCTTGAGTCTCCGGACCAATTCATCAGGTCCAAGGTCATCGGTGATGGGGCGGCAGCCTTGCGGGTACACTATTTCCGCCATGCTGCCAATCTGTAAGCCGAAATTGTGGAAGTGACAATAACATCTTTATAAATTACTAACTAATGTTATTTTGGAAAGAGTATCAGTAATGGAGGCCCAGTGACACATAGTCTCCACTAATGCATTATTCTATTATCATAAAAATAACTATGGCAGGCTTTAAATTTTAATTATTTAACTTTTAATTATACATTAGCTATAATATTTCGTCCATATTTAGTTGTCAATAAAAAAACTACCTGGTATTGTTATTATTGAATTTAATTTCTTGATTGGGTTACAAAATACCATTATTTGGGTTGAAATCAATATTGAAGTTAGACTCTAGACTACTATGCCTACTACTAGCTACTAAAGCACTCCAGTATTTTTGAGTATATCATATAACATATATAAAAAATAATTCCTTTTATAATTGTTAATTAAGAAAGAAAATATTTTTATATAAATCCTGTTCTGAAATGTTAAAAATCCCAATATTACACTAATAATAATAACCACATAGCTCACCTTCTTTTCATATAAAACTGTGTATACAATTACCCATTAAGCACTGTAAATATCATTTAAATTAATTCATATTATGCACCCTACTACCTATGTTTAAAATAACTCTACAGTCATGGTACAAAATATGTATAACAATGTTTATTGAAACAAACATTATAAGTATGTCAGTTAATGACCTGATAACAGTTATTCAGGAAATATTCTGCTATTAAACAATATAACTTTCAATTACATGAACAGATAAGATCAAATTATAAATGGAGAGAGCTGATTCTGGAATAACAGTCCCTAAAATATAAATACATTATTATAATAATACAAGAAACTTGCCATTAGAACCAGCTTCTCGGCTTATGTAAAGAAATAACAATATTTCTTAATTCAAAGACACTCATATCTTTGAATAATGATATCCTCGATAAAACTAGCGCCTGACTTTGCTATATAGTTAATAATTTTAGTGTATGAAACATAAAGATTTTTTGATATGCACAAGTTATATAGATGTTTTCATATAGATCCCTAACATCTCATAAACATATACACATATCATCTATTTTCATCAGGAATAATATATGATTGTAATGATAAAAGAATTTTTGTTATTCAAACTGGTCCAGTAATTTTGGAACTTATTTAATACAAACAAACAATGAAATACTGCCTCTTTATAATATTAGTACAGATAAATAATATATCCCTAAAATAGAATCTGAAAAATATTGAATTTATATAACTCAAGATATAGGACCAGAAAACATAAGTTTCTAAAAATTTGCTGTAATTTTAATGGAAGCATCAGGAATAACTTGTCATTGATTTAGAAACAATTCATGCTTCCAATCCATCTGACCGTTATCTTTTTGATACTAAATGGCTGAAATTAGGTATAAACATACAATGCATATGATGGCCAACGAAGACTATATTTTCTAAAGAAAGCAGACAATATCGGAGGTAATTCTCTATATTAATGAAAAAAACTTGCCTCCATTATCTAGTAAAATTATCCTGAGATAGTAACTATCCCCTTACATAATGTAAGTATACAAAAGATAATGAAAAAAGCTTAAAACAATAAAGATTTATTGTATCACAAACATGATGAACATAGCCTATTTCTTACATGAACAAATAATCTGGAAGAGAGTGAAATAGTGGATTTTATATATATAAGTTGCCAGTACCAGTTAGTAGTAAAATTATAAGCATTGATTCTCAAAGACATATATATCTTTTAAATTGGTTATATTTAATCATAATTCTTTCATCAACATTTTCATTACACATTAAGGATAAATGGATAAATGGAGCAGAAAATACTGTAACATTATCTGTATAATCAAATATGATACACAAACAAACATGAGCAGTGTGCACCCTACCCTACCACTACCCTGCATAGTTTTTAGGAAACTATTATTGTATAGTTTAAACATAATGCTTTAAGACATGTACAGCCTTTGTATGTTTAATTTCTATGTTTTTAAACAGTGTACACTGTACTAATATTATAAAGTATATTTTATAGTGAGAACAGAACTCTATAGTAATTTACAAATTCCTTTAATGTAATCAATAATCTATGTATAATATAACAAAAATGTAACAGATTGCTGTCTGTACATGAAATATATATGACAAAATCTACTTTTAGGGGAATTTATCAATATATTTGAACCCAAAACAATTTGTAAGAAAATTGTTTCAAATTTTGCATGTGCATTTATGCACACTAAGCTAAAATGGCTTAAAATATTTGTGTATATGTTACACGAATACAAATATATTGAGGGAAGCTTCGTTTTAAATCTAGTGTTAGATTTATTCCAATCAGTTTGTATACAAAAAACTTATTGTTATTCTGAATATCACAGTAATATAAGCATGGGTACAATTATGTATCTCTATTAATATAAAATTTAATTTAATTTTTTTTAATTCAAAAATATTGATTAAAGACAATCAATACATCTATCTGGTTCCTTAAATTATACAGCACATACCATTATGCTGTGGTAACCTCATAATATGATTATAATAATATATAATAACCCAAGTAATTACAAATATATTTTACTATATTGCATTAACACTATCTATAACATATAAGATAGATTTTTAAGAGTGTTCATAGAAATATATAACCCAGAACAATTCTCAACCTAAACAGATCTTGTGTTATGGGTACTAGACGACTGCTACAAATGTTGAAACACATTTTTTTGTAAATGCATACATAATACACATAAAAAACACCCATACTCGTGAATACAACTATTTGAATCATGCAATGAATAGAAGCTGCAACCATCAGAAGTAAAGCAGTGTACTAAACTGCTAAACCATCTTAGTTAATATTATATTTTAACATCCACATTGTCTTCTATCAGAACCCGCTACAGTGTATAATATTGTTTATTTGTAAACCAATTTGATTAAAACAAACACTATTTTTGTGATGACCACCATGCATGTATAAATAGCATTCAATATTTCTGAGATTACTATGTGCACAAACAGACAAGCAGATAAAATTTCTAATAACAATTGTTTTGTGTCCATTAGGTAGTTAAATGCACACAATAATAGTTTTTCTCATAAACGCTCCATGTACAGACAGTAATCTTTATTATGAGGCAGTGATTTTTATTGTATGTATAGATTGTACACATAACAAGGCCTTGGAAGTCTCAACAGGTCACTGTATTAACATATATGGAATCTCAGTAACTATAATAAGAATGCATATGCACTTCAAATATAAATATATAATTGCAATTATTGATTATTTTGTAACTAACCTTACACCAACATTATGACAATAGTAGTCAAACATCGAAACGTCGTCTTGCTTTTATTGACCAAAGCTACGATGCGTAAACACAATTTGGTGTCACGTTAAATGCTACATCACTTTTTAAATCTTATCTAAGCTTTAACAAGAAAGCATGAAACATTAGAAATTAATATTCGCCGACACTAACAATGCACTCATGTTTCATATGCAATATACCTCTACAAATACAAGATCTGACTATGGAGAAATACGCCTGTATCTCTCTTACTATAGCAAACTTCACAAAAATTTCGAGGTTAATCGTACACTTGTTAAGATATCTACAAAATATATACTATTTACAAACATATTATACATAATATGAAATTTATGACAACGTTTAAATAACTAGAAATACGTACAAGAAGTCATAGACGTGGGCCTGTGTTCCTGTCCCGATGTTTACAAAAATTACCACAGCACACAAAATCAAACAAAACAATCAAATGCGTAACATAATCACAGCATCAAAAATCACTGGCTTATTTATCATACGTTTAGATAAATGTCCTATTGATCTAAATACATAGAAATTTCCTGTAATATTTTTTCTGTCGTGTGGACGCCAAACTGCGGGAAAAACTACAGTGAAGTTAGCTGATTTTTGTTAGTAATTCAAGGTCATTTTGTGCTCTATGATAAAATTTAATATTAAAAATATTGTCTATGGGCGTCGTGTTGTCTATATGGATCACTCCATTAAATAAATTGTCTATTAAAATTATTTATTCTTTACTGTAGTAAATTTTAATCGACATTATATTTGGAACAATTTATTATAATTCTATTGCAAATTCTATTAATTGTTTTAGAAAAAGGTTTTATCTAAAATGTTTGACGATATCGCGTATCCTATTTTTATCGTCATAATATAATCTGTCTTCACGCCTAATTTCATTAGGATCCGTAAATATAGCCATAAAAAGATAATCAATACACTTACGAGTTTCTAATGTATATGTATAAATAGCCATCATTAAATGCAAAACTAGCGCCATCTATTGACGATATTTCACCCAAATGAATATTATTTATTTATATTTACCTAATCTATTCTTAGTTTTTATGAATTTTATACTTCAGTAATATTAGTAAATTTATTTATAAGTAGCGATCCTCGCAGTGGTGTGTTACGAGTACCTTATAGTAGCTTATTTTTAAATAAACGATACCTATATTATAATTTACTTTGTGTACAAAGTATATTTTTTAAAAGTTAACTTTAATGCCTCAGTTACCTATTTCAGTCGCTAAGCAGCACAGAGTACTTTATTATATACAGGCTAAGCAGCTTGCTTTGTGAAAACTTTTTTTTACTTTAGGAATAAGGCAGTGAATATACAGGATAAGAGTCAAGACTTATGACAGTGCTTCGGAATTGTGTATCATGGACACATTACCACGGATGACAGTTGTGTTTTCATATATATGTTTGTATTGCTTGCCATTTCAATTACATAAAATATGTGAGTTTGAGTTAATTAATCGAAAAAATAAATAATTTCTCTTTATAATAATAATAGCACAGATAACATAATAATAGTATAAATATTACAACTCATTAAAAGACCTCTAGACGATTCTAGAATGAGCGGGAATTGTGGTAAGTGCCTGGCATCGCTTCCTAAAGCGCCTCGTGTTTAGCCAAGCGATATCGACAAGTTCACACTGTCCGTTAAGCTGTGTTTACCCCCACCAACACTGCTTGCATAGTGTCCATAATTTAGTGTGATATGTAAGCCGCCCTACATATTTATTACTAAGTTCGATATGTGTATTAAACACAACTTGTTACTCTGCTAAACCACCAACATCGTTGACTTAAAAGTTGTAAAATTATTTTATCATAGAATACGTATATTTACGTATTCTATGATAAGTGAGTGTATGAGTGCATTGCTTATACAGTTTTAAAATTTTAGATTCTGGTTACAACTAGATATTTCGAGTATTCTATGTACCTATACAGGTTTACTAGAATGCAGTCATCATAATCAGGTGATGACTGTGTTTTAGTGGAACGAAAAATAAAAACAAAAATGTAGGTACTATTAAAATATATATAATTGTATAGCAAATACTTTATTTCCAAAGCCTTACAAAATATTTTATTCTAACTTAGAAAATAATAATCAAAGTAATATTGTATTATTATGTACTTAATGTTTCGTGTTTGGAATTTCATTTAGGTGCATTTACAAGCAGAAGCTGTTTTTGTAAAACTACATAAGTAATTATATACGTAAGTATGTGAAGCAATATTTAAAAATGGAAGTCTCGAGTAGTTTTGTCGGTATATATTTAATCTATGTATTAGTTAATTAATAAAAACAGTCTTGCTTTATCAAAACTCTTTTTTTTTACTACACTCTTTTTTTTTAAAGCCGATAAAAGGTTGTGTTTGAATCTGGCCTATTATAAACCAATATTAATGCTAGAGAAGGCAGTAGGCTTCCTTTTCAGATTAAAACTAAATACACTCATGGAAAAGGGCACGTCGAATGTTGCGTTAACCTTGACATTGATACTTGTCACCTCTAAATACTCCATCTGGGATAATAGTGGTGAATGTATACAATTACACAATAAGAAAGCATATAAAAATTGTTGGAATAGAACCAGTTAAGAATGGTAACGTGACACCACCGACGGCTGCCACTAGCTCACTAGTTACTATAATAGATATTAGAAGATGATAGCAACATTATAAACTAATAGTACACATTATATAAATGGGATATTTATATGGAATATTTAGTCGATGTTACAGACGTCCTGGTCACAGGTCTACTGGAGATGGCAGTGGATGTTAACAATGATTTCCAGCAGATTTTGTCTTAGAGCTCATAGATAATCTTACTATTGTACCTACTAGCTGACACCGCAAACGTTGTTTTTCCATATAAATTAAAATCGCTTTTAAAAATAAGGGTTGGTGATAGGAGATTGAAAATTTAGGGTTGTATCATCACTACTTAGTAGAAAACAAAGTCGATGTCGCTGTCTGTCCGTCCCTATGTATGCTTAAATCTTTAAAACTTTGCAACGGATTTGGATTTTGAAGCGGTTTTTTGTTTAATAGATAGAGTGATTAAAGAGGAAGGTTTATATATATATAATACTTTGAATTGAATTTGAATTTGAATTTAATGTGCGAAGTCGGGGCGAGTAGCTAGTTATAAAATAAAATCTCCAAACAATAAAAATAAATATTAGGGGTGGACAACCTTTATCGTTTAGTGGTATGAAAAATACATAGTAGCCGATTCTCAGACCTACCCAATATGCATTTTTATAAAAATCAAATTTGATTCAATTTCATAAGAATCGGTCAAACCGTTTCGGAGGAGTGGTGTGGTAATTGACATTATGACACGAGAATTTTAAATATAAGATATATCCCATTTATATAAATTAGTACAATGTACTAAAAATTCGTGAAAAAAGTAAAATACAGAGATTAACAACTAATTATGAATTTTACGTATAGGTACAAGCATATTGTTGGACACAATTATTTTGAAATCTTAATCTATGTATTAGGTATGTGAACAATTGAGATCCCTTCAGCGAATACGATGTGTGCGATTACTAAATCACAGGAAACGATCACATTATTGATTCTTACACTAAGTGCTTTAGAGAGATAATTAACTATATCTAAAAGAACATACACACTACGTGACCAATTTATTGCCTCTCCTCCCCCCCCATCGGTGACCACCCATCGTATATACCCTATAGTATATATAAAACCTATAAGGAGGCCGACGGGCCTCCTTATGGTTTTTGTATATATTTTTGTATGTATTTTGCTTATGTCAAAACTATAGGGGGCCGATAATGACCGTTCCCCTTTAGTTTTGACGTAACAAATCATGAATGCTATACAATATGTCTTCAGAAACAGAAAGATTAAAAAAATAATTTGGCTAATATTTGTATATGCAGTCTCATCGTCACTCTGCAAGAGCAAGTGACGTTAAGAGTGTTTGTACATAATCAAATAAAATATCTATAATTATAAGTGATAAATTAACCTTATGTATTAAAAATGTTCACTATAATTTAATTTAGCTGCTACGAATGGGTCACGTTGTGTAGATACGTTCCCTAACAAGAAATAATACTAAAAAAACTATTTGAACTACAACCAAACTAGTGAGCGACGCCGAAGCGGTAGAAAATTTAAAAAAAAATGTTGGAAACATAAAAATACCCTTCGAGGACAATGATAAGTTTAAGAATTAGAGAACTGAAAGCTGAAATGTCACTTTGTAGACAGTAGAAATTGATTTTAGAATTTCTTTTTACAATATAATTGATTTTAGAATTTAATTTTACAATAAGTTAAGTAAATCATTGTTGTAACTTATCCTTAAACACTAATCTAATTCAAGTTTTCTGAACGAACCAGCCGTTGAATGTATATCTTGGGTAATGTCATTCTTTTCGAGTGCGTGTAAGTCAACACACATATCGTCTAATGCTAATAACTCGTCTCTATGTTTCAATAGATTTAATTTCAATTCTTCAATCATATCCCTAAGTGGGACAGTACCGCCGTATTCTTTCGGTAAAATAGCTGGGTCCACGTGTTTTGTGAGATCTTCGCTGGTTCGATGAAACTGGAAAAAGAATAGTCATATAAATTAATAGATTAAAAATGTGCACTTTTCATTCATGAGACCGCCGTCGACTTGAGATTTACGCCTTACATACAAAAAGAGTTAAAAAATACTTTTTTTATATGCATGTCACCCATATGTTTAACAATTACACCCGTTACCCAACGGTTTGCTTGATAAAAATGCGTTTGGCGATAAAGCTGCCTTATTACAGCTATACAAATTACAAATGTATTTATAAATGTTTCAGTGTAATTTAAGCTTTTCTGTATAATGCAACTAAAAGCATATTCCATTTATCTAAAACTTGAATATTAAAAAACTGTGTGACAATTTATATTTCTGAAATGAGGATAACAAGACGACTGCTGTAGACTCGCCTTCTCACGTGGGATTGCAATACTGCCAGCGTTATTCTCCACAACATCGACAAATTGACAATGGTTATTTGTAGTGATGAATTTTGTGGTTTTAAAAACTCATACGCGGGATAATGTAATTAATAGAATATAAAGTTATACAATAGAACATACAAATAATGCAATAGTTTGTTCTTACCATAACACGATCTTTAAGTTTCTCACTAAGCAGAGACACTGCGAACTCAAAAAATCTGACGCCGTACTGCGGAATATTCACGAAATGGGTGCACTTGTGTCGCATGGGTGTAGAATTCTGTAAAACAAATAACAAAATTATACACACATATTTAATACTAGCTTACCCGCGCTACTTCGTCTACGTTTCATTTCCCCACCTTTTGCAATATTATACATATCTAATATTATGTTATCTGTGATTGTAGCTTCGCTCCTATTGGTCGTAATGTTATATAGCTCAAAGCCTTCCTCGACAAATCGACTGACTAACACAAAAATGATTTTTCAATTCGACCCAGTAGTTCCTGAGATTAAAGCGTTCAAACAAACAAACTCTTCAGCAATATTAGTATAGATAACTTACTAACTTTTATATAGAAATATAGGTGCATTGTAACACGCCAAAATTTTGTACCTGTTATCGTTTATTTTTTACAATAAAGGATTTAGCTACCGTTATTTCAATGGACTGTATAATCCATTCAAATACTATGTATAAAAAAATAAAGTGTCTCTGGCCGTTTGTTTGTTCGTTTGTCTTTTGTTTGTTACTATTTCATGACTAAACTGCTGAATGTGACATCAAAATAAATTGTATGACGAAGACATGGACTAAAAAGGTTGATGATATCACAGACTAGTTTTTTGTATAATTTGAATGCTGACGGTCCATCTGATGGTAAACGGTAACCGTCGTCTTTAGTATATATGAACAGCCTATACCACCCTATCATGTAATCACATGACGGTCGTAATACCACTCAAGTGTTACCATTTCGGACGACTAAGATGTAATGCCTCCATCCTATAATTTCACTGCTTTATCTCACCTTTCAATTGAAACACATGTTACAAAACAAATTGCTTGACGTTTGAAATAAGTGTGACTGATGTACGTATATTACTATTTATACGTAAAGCAAAAACTTTGTAACCTCTTTACGAATTTTTCGCGAACGGAGGCATATGATATTTCGCAGACTTATTGTTTATACAGAGAAGGTGTGAAAAATGCTAATATTTTTTAATTTTTGCATAAAAGATACATTAAATCAAGAAAGCAAAAATTGCACACACTACCATGTATTTAACACACACATAAAAGTAAAGTCTTTGACAATAGAAGCTTAAGAATGATGAGACTTATAATTTAAATTAATTATGGTCGAATTTCGACCATTGGGTGACCACTAGGACTATATTAAGCGTTGCGTTATTACAAATTGTCAACTTACTTGTATACAATTTAACATGACGCGTACATCACTAAAAGACCATAAGCTGACGTGAGGCATCTGCATTCCGGCTTCATCATTCACGTGTGTGTACCCCAGAAGTTGAGACCTGGGTTCGTCCAGTAACAACTCCACGATCATGGAATGAACGCGCGCCATTACGCAACTGTCGTAGACGTGGGGGTCAAAGCGACCTGTCGAATAATGACATATTAATTACTAATAACAATCCTTAGGTATGTTATATACTAGGTTTGTTGGGTCCTGTCACACCAGGTCACAGGATTTTTAAGTGGATGCTAACGGAATGATGTACTCGCCGGCGTTAACGGTTTACGCTGGCGGGGCACCAGCGGAGAATGAAAAGATGAGCATCAGGCCAGGTCAGTTCAGTTAGCCCATCACTTGGCCCAGTTGGCCTCGATCGGTCAAGTCGTTTCAGAGGAGTATCGTTAGAAAGAGTGCAAATCTGATCTCTAAGATAGATAGCGAGAAGCACGTAGTGCACTTCTCGCTCCGCTCAATAAGAAAGTGATTATTTGTAATAGCTGATGATAAGTGGATACAGAACAACATTATACACGATCAACATCACGGACGGATCTACGGACATCACGTTATCATGTGACACCCGTGCTACTAATTATGTGTTGCCATCCTAGAGGACTAAGATAATATGCTCTTATCCTGTAATTTTACTGCCTAAACAGCACCCTATAACCAAAACAGCTTATAAAGCAAGATGCTTAGCGGATGAAATATAAATAAAAACGCAGCGTTGTTTACGGGAATAGTAAACGAGTTGTCAGTTCATTTGATGGGTCATATAACGGACATCATGCCTTGAGAGAAGGCTTTGTTAGTAATAGCAACTAGTGGCACCATAATAGTAATGTATCATGTTAGTTTGACCTCCACGCAGACCTGCAAAACGTGGTGGATTTCCAGTGAATTTTCCATCTCTCCTTTGGAAAGTTTACACTCTTTCCCGAGGAGATAAAAACCATCGCGCCTAAGAATATCCTTCAATTCTTGTCCCTGACGGGTTTGGGTAGCGAACTTTGAAAAAGGGCGAGCACAATAGATCTTTGTAGGTGGCAGTGCTACAGGTGCTACAAACATCTGACAATAGCCCAAACAACCCAATAAAAAAAAAACTGATCTAACTTCATCCTCACCTTATTATATTCTACACGCCAGAGAATACTATTAAAGCGGATGCACCATACCATAATCATCTATTTAAAAGAATACTCACCCATACAAGACAATACTACACGCCTTCCTTCAGCGTCTCTCTTCGGCAACGGCACCAGATACCCTGCATCGATGACAGCCGCTATTTTCGGGTCTAAAGGATCCAGTTTTTGGAACCAATGTGGATGCATTTGTCTTATGGTTAGATAACGTTCCAGCATCGAGCAAGCTTGGGGAATGGAGTATTTCTTCGTGCGTAGAAACCGCAACAGAAAGGGAGCATCTGGGAAAATATAGTTCATTTTATGTAAAATGGAAATAAACTGATGTCCCACTACGGATAGACTTGTCGAGAACTTATAGTTTACTAGATATACCCGCGGTTTCAATGTATATATCTTATATATAAAATTCTCGTGTCACAGTTTTTTTTTTAAATTTTGTAAGCGTATTCAGTAGGTCTGAGAATTGGCCAACATCTATTTTTCATACCCCTAAATGTTAAGGGTAGTCCCTAATTTTTTATTTTTATTTTAAGGCAAAACAACGTTTGCCGGGACAGCTAGTTTCAATATAAAATATAGCGTATGTGTTATTGTGATGCATAAGCTATATTACTGTAAGGTTTCATCCGTTGAGTAGTTTTTGCGTGATAGAGTAACAAACATCCATACTTACAAACTTTTGCATTTATAATATAATACTATTAGGATAATATATTTGTGTCACGTTACATCTCTCTCAGTGGTTTCAATTTATATTAGCTAGCAACAACCCTTGATATCGGCAGTGCATACTAAAATGTTATTTGTATAATCTCTCGTGATAGGAATATCAAACACCGACGTACTGTCATTACTTATTAATAAAAAAGGCATACACACTATATTAAATGATAAATACCATAGATGTCCGGTTTAATAGAAGGTTACCTGTTCGTGACTTTTTTATCGCCGGGTGTTTCTCTATGAAATGCCTCATCTGCGCAAGGGCGTGTTCTCTTATCGCCGGTTCTTCTCTCAACTCTACTCTTGCTCTCTCCCTTAGCTCAGCTGGCAGCTCTCCTGTCTCCCTCTCTTTAGCTTCTAAAATCTGCAGCCTCTCATCCTTCGTCAGCCGCGGTTCTATATCGGGTTTTGGTTCATGTTCACGTCTACATTCTTCAGGTTGGAGAACCGATGTCGCCATTTTTTTCTACCTGAAAAGATAAATATGTTTTATGTATTACTTAATTAGATTTATAAATGGATATTCCAGATGGGGTATATATAGGAATTGTCAAATGTGAACCAATCCATGCTTGATATGTTCATACACGCTGGCGGGACACCAGTGGAGGATGATACGATTAGCATGAGGACAGGTTAGGTTAGTTAACCCATCGTGGCTCGGTACAATTGAATATAATGTGGCAAAGTAGTTCATGTCGACCAGATTTAAACTCACAACCTTTTTATCCAAATTAAAGTAGTAAACAACCGTAGGTTAGAATTAATTATTAATTGTAGATATTTTTAGTTATAATATCACCACCATAAATAATTAAATATTAACAATTAAATTATTTATGGTATTGTTTGAACATTATTAAGATTTCCCATGTGTATGTATATCAAATACACGGTAGTGTGTGTAATTTTTTTTTATAATTTATTGTATTTTTTCAAAATTAAATGCAAATATTAGCTTTTTATACTCCTTCTCGATAAATACAATACGTGCGCGGAATTTCTCCTTACGGTCGCCCAATTTTCGTAAAACGGGATACAAAATTTTTGCTTCGCGTATTAATATATAGATAAAAAATAACCTTGTAACAATAGTGATCAGTTGATCAGGAATGGCGACATATGGACCCCGTGACTTCGTGACCTTCATATGTCACAGTCGACGGTTACCATATTCAATTATAAGAGCGGCCACATTTTGTTTTTTTTTACAATTACATACAGTATATTAAAAAATCTTCACGCTCAGTATCTGACAGTCGTTGAAATTTCATTCTATAGTACATAATACCTACTGACAGAAAAAAATTGTGCATAACCGCGACCTATTACGCATATGAAACACGCTATTGTGTTCGGTAGAAAGTGAAATTGGCAAATTGCATAAAATAGCCAGACAAAGTCGATTGTTAGGGATGACGAATTACTTTTCTAAACATTTCGTAATATACCTACTTAATTACAGGTTGAGTCCTGACAAATTTTTTTAGGGTTCTTTTAAAGAGTTTTAATATTGAGTTCATTTGAGAAGGTAAATAGCTGTCGTTTCGCCACCGATTCTTTATGGATGATAAAGGAATGTTGCACCCACCTGCGCAGCGTAAACGCTGGCGGGAGACCAGTGGAGAATGATGAGGTCAGGTCAGTTAGCCCATCATGACATATTAACCAAGAATTTATCACGATGGTTTACATGGGGAACGCGTGGAAGTCAACCTGACATGGTACATTGCTAGCAATAAGATCATCTGGCCATATTACTAACAATCTCCTTTCCCCCCTGAAACCTGGCGTTAGCAGGGATTATTGTGCTGACAAAGTACCCTATCAGCTTTGAGAGGAGGGGTTTTATTAGTATTGGTGACCAGGGCTGATCTTACTTGATTTTTAAATTAACACCAGTTAGTTGTCTTTGCTCATTCTATGATATTCCACTGGTACCTCTCCAACGTTTACCTACCGGTAGTACAGGTGGTTGCACCATATCATTATCATCTAGTACCACTGATAACCGGCTCATTACATACATATCTTAAATATATGTACAACTGTACTTAACTGTGCTGTACTATTAATTGTGTAACCATCGCGCAAGTGTAAATAAGTTAATAAAGTTGTATTGCAATACCATAAACTGCATGGCAGCGCGTAAAATCTGTACAAACTAATAAAGCGCCATCTATTCCCTCGGTAAGCAGAGCTTGTGTTATGGGTAGTAGATAACTGATGTAATTACTTAGATTTTTTTTGTAAATTTATACAAAATATACATAGAATACACCCATACAAACAATCATACTCATGACTACAAATGCGAGAATGCGTGCGAGAAATCGAACCCGCGACCATCGGAAGTAAAGCGGTGTGTTAAACCTGTAAACCACCGAGAACCGTGAAAAAATCTGAAAAAAAATCTCAGACTCAAAAAATCTGAATATCATGTTACCGCATAATTAGTATGGCCTTCTGGATCGGTATACCCTAATGAAACCGTGTCGATTAATTTTTGTTTCTATTATATACTAGCTGTACTCGCGACTTCGTCCGCGTGGAATACGACTTTATTTTTCTAAATTATAATGTAGCCTTAGTTACTCCTTATTACATCAGCTTCCTGCCAAAAAAATCCCATCAAAATCGGTCCAGCCATTTCAGAGATTAGCCGGAACAAACAGACAGACAGACGGACAAAATTGTAGAAAATGTTATTTTGTTATATGTACCATATTTATATTCATATGCATGTAGTAAAAACGGTTATTTCAAATATTAAAAACAGACACTCCAATGTTATTTATATGTATAGATTTATAACAGTCATGATAAAATATTTGAGTCCAATAGTTGATGATATAAAAGTAAATGTCGTTAAGGTTAATGATATCAAAAGAACGAATGTTACAATTGGGACCTTCACATTTCAAAATTAGTGAATACTTAGTGAATATACACATACAGTTACAAGAATTAGGCAATTAACAACGTGGCGATGGCTAAACTTGTAGATATATTTTACATTTTTAAAGCTTATACATACAGTATAGTTAATGAAGTATGTCTCTAAATATTTATATATCAATAATATTTTGTAATAGTTTATCGAATGTTTGACAAAACTAGTTTGGAAGTTTGTATGTAATTCACCGATTTCTATTCCACGGCGCAAACTCATGACCTTCAAACTTGACTATGAATGCCAAACTTTCACTCGCTTTCCATCTCGCGCTGTGCTTGATACAGTCATAATACAACAGTTCAGTCAATATAACAATTATATTAACAGTAGGTATAACTACAGATAAGATAATACTACAGAGTATAACTAAGTAGACGTGATGTCTCCATATTCATATTTTAATTAGGTAGGAGATATTATTCGTTGCAGTGGCTAAAAACTAAAATTATTGATAGAATATGAAAATTTTTAATCTATATGTTGTGACTGGAAAATAGTACCCGTACTATTTTAATCGTAATAACAAATAATAGTATAAAAGTGTATTTTTCCCAAAAGGGCTCCCCAAAGGGTAATTTCCCCAAAGGGTACAGCGAAGCAAAAGAAAGTCACAAACAATTAGTCAAAAGTGACATAAAAAATATCTAAAATATAAACTTTATAATAAGAATGGTAGACAAGCTGCCAGCAACATATGTATTGGAGTAAAATCTGATCACCAAGGTATAGTCACCTTAGCAACAAATTATATTTTTTGCTAGTTTCATAGGTATACCTATGGCTTTGATATTTATATATGTAAATACCTATATTATAAGTATAATAAATATCAAAGTTTATAAAGATGATTAGATTGTTTTAATGGTTAGTTTGCTCGAATTATGAATCGGTTGAACGAATTGACGAACGAATTTGAATTATATAATATATTATAATTATATTATATATATGCATGGGTGTATTCTATATACATATTGTAAAATCTCCTTATAACACTGTTCTGCAATCAAATAAATTATTATATAAAATACTTTATTAATTATTATTTTATGATTAAAGGCAAACATTACTATCAGTACAAAATTTTCGAAGAACAAAAAATAATATGTACAACCTCTGTAAAGTTAGTTTAACAAGTATACATTAGTTATTTAATGACGCATCAAAAATTCATAAAAGATGATGAAGTCATTCAAATAAACTATTGAATACTATCCTAGGCTACTTCGGTGAAGATGTAAGTCCAGCTACGGCCAACAGCATCAAAATAGAAAAAAAAACCCGGCAGACATCTTCCTACCCGGTCCGCCGGATTATTTCTAGCCAGGCAACTAACTATATTAACCGCTGAAAATTTTTAATGTTGTCAATTATCCAGATAATCAATTTGGTGACATATCGTTACCATTGCTTATCGCGCATACCCGGCCCGCTTGTGTTTTCAAACCATCCAGAACCTCATTGAAATGTACATACAAAATTTCATTCAAATTGCTCCATCCAAGAGATGGATGGACGTATGAAAGATGATATGGTAAAAAAACGAGTAAATAACGAGATGACTGCGACTGCTGAATGGAAGAGAAAAACATATTACGCCGACCACAAATAAATGGGATAAGGAAGAAGCAGATGATGATGATGCTCAAAAATACGTATAGGTATAGAAGAAGCATATACATTAAAATATATCAAGAACTACACACTTTATAGAACACGTATATATATATGGTATACCTGATTAGGAACTATGACAAGTAACAATAAGGCTATTGGGAGTCCACGGGCGAGCCTGTACATCGGTCAGTGACGTCATAGCTTTGTCACATGACAGCCCGTTTTGTATCTTATGAAATTGAGACAGAGTTCAAAATGAGCTATTCGCCTAACTTTTTACAGCGAGCGTATATGGGCTTGTTTATAAATGCATGTGCTGTAATGCATGATGACACTGTAATGTAGATGGAGGCGCGAAATAGGATATAAGATTTAACTACCTTGTTATAACTTGTCAAGGTTATAGATTTCTCATGTTTAAATTTTTCCGAAGGTTACCTATATATGTACAAAGAATAACAATGTTTATTCTTCTCTAAAGCATTGATAAGATTTGCAGTGCAACCAAGCTATTTGGTCATGTAAATTTAATGAACAAAGCGGAGTACTAGTGCTTGCACTAGGTATCCGATATCCATGATATATAATTTATATGAACAATTTAAAGAGGGATACACCTACTATATATTTTCATTATTCGAGAATTATTAAAAAAAATAAGTCTCGATAGATAATATGTAGTTGGCAGGTAATATATTTTATACTAATTTCTGTTTTGTGTTGACTATGACGTTTCTATCTTTATACATTGTATGTAACAATGTCTATAGGTAAACAATGCATCTATAAAGGTAGAAAAGTCATCGTTTTAAGAAACTTAACTTCATACATAACATTTGGCGACCTCGGTGGTCTAGCGGTCTAGCACACACGCTTTACGTCCGATGGTCGCGGGTT